TTAAGGCCAGCCCGGCTGTTTAGCTCGGCTATTCCGTTTATTATGCGGTAAGAATTGGTGGAAAGTTGGGTAGGGCAGAGTTTGGTTTGCCTGAGGAATTCACAGAGTAAGTGCTGTACAGGGAAGCGTAGACCGCACTCCACAATGGAAATAATATTAAAAGGGACAAAGCCCTATTTACCCCAAGGAACGGTTTTTAGTTCAGCTAATGAAAGGTAGACGTCGTCTGGAATTTGATAGTCTTTTCGGAATTCGGTCATGGCATCTGGTGAGTTTACTAAAAATCTATACTTTCCCATTTGTGGTTTAAGTTATGAATAAATTAAACTCGAGTGTTAGCTCGGTCGAAGAATGATTCTAAGTAGCTCGGTTGAACGCTCAAGGGAATGCCTGGGCAACCTAAGTCTGCAAGGTAAAAACAAAGGTGTTAAGCACAGATCGTGGGACCGTGCTAAAAGAAATAAAGGCAAGATAAATGAAGTCCTAGCTCGGCTATGCGAGATGCTATGGGTCATAGCGCGGTTTGAGCAAGGGATTTGGTACCTCGGTTGTGCGAGGGGTTTGTTATCTCGGTTGTGCAAAGGGTTTGTTAGCCTGGTTGAGCCTCTAGGGGGCAGCGCTTTTAGTTCGGTCTGAACTAAGAAGGCTGGTTTAGCCCCATGATTATAACTCGGTCGTGGTTAAGACTTCTAAGCACACTATTGCGCAGACTTAATACGGTTTGTTAGCTCGGCTAAGTTAAAATCAAAAGGAGGATTTACTTGTTGAAACTAGTGGCATAACATGAAGTGTTAGTTCGGTTGGTTAGTTTGGCTAGTTTGACATTAGTTGCAAACAACTTTTTAGTTCGGTTATATTGTGACTTTGGATCGAAACTAGTGTTTCTCAGATTATTTCGTGAATACAAGTGATTTTATTACTAAGTTTTTTCCAAAAAACGCAAGCCCAAGCAGAAAATGGTAGTAATATGTTTTGCAAAAACACAAACACTATGCTATGGATTGTAGAAAGCAAGTGCAAAAAATAACAAAAACAAGAGAGATTTGAGTAACTTACTAGGACAAGCGGCACTGGAAGATGGAAATGGCACTAGGAGGCAAGAGCTTCGCAGTTACAAGATTGAAGAACAAAAGAAGCTCAGAGACGAGAGAGAGAGAAGGAGATGAATAGTATGAGAGTGATTCAAAACAAGGGTCTGTTTTGTGTAGAAGGAAGAACAAAAAGGCGGGAACTGTTCAAAAAACACGAGGTACGAAGACGGCGTGACAGCTGCCTTCAGCCAATGAGAGCATGCCACGTGTCCTTGGAATAAAAAGCGATTGCAGAGACACTTTGACCGGACAGATAGAACCCAGTGTTTAGCTCGGGTGGAAAGGCTAAAGAGTTTTAGCTCGGCCGGAAAGGCTAAAGGGTTTTTAAGCTCGGTTGGAAAGGCTAAAGAGTTTAGCTCGATAGTAAGTTTTTAGCTCGGCTGGTAACAGGTAATCCCTATCATGCTATGCAGATGGAATTAAGGGGCAATTAAGAGGGTAATTTATATATAAATTAGGCCGAGCTGGGTAATGGGCCGTTCATTGGGTCACGGTAAGAAGGGCTGGATAAAACAGGGGCTTGGAGTTAGCCCGGTCCTGAGAACGCCTTATTGTTATCCCGGTCCAAAGGAGCCTTGCAGTTAGCTCAGTCCGAAAGAGCTTGGTGGTTAGCTCGGTCGGCGCGGTAACAGTTAGCCCGGTCATACCATATTGAGCCCAAGTATGTTAAGCCTTCCTCAGAACCATGCTATGGGTTAATTCAGTCCTAGCTCAGTATGGTTAGCATGATCTCAATAGCCTGGTTGAAGTACGACGAACCGAGGTACACGCTGTGAAAGGAAGAACCGAGCTAGGTGGAGCTCGGTCTAGTCTGCGGCTTTAGCATGGCCACGTTATCCCGGTCGTATTGATATCCGACCTAGGTAAAACCATCTCACTTGGTTTAAGCAGTGAGGGGGCTGTTGAAGGATAAGTATTATTTTTCAGGAATGTGATTCCTAGGAGGACTCTACATGGAGGAGTAAGAGTCCTACGAGAATTGTGCCACGCAGAACCTATAAAAACTCATAACATCACCTAAGGAGAGGCAACACAACTTTGATTCTCAAATACACAAAGCTTTGTCTATTTGTCTATTTTTGCTGACTTAGGCATCGGAGAGGTATCCGGCACACACCCGCCGGCTAGCTTACATTTGTGTTTTCAGGGAGTAAAGCGACGACGTACGGAGGAGCGCAGACTTGATCAACAGGATTATACGAGAAGGTTTATTTATTTCCCATACAGTAAATAAAAAAAGAAGTTAACAATCATTTGGGATCCGGTGATTTGGCCAGAATAATAAAAAAAATTAAGAAAAATATGACTCCTTTAGAGCATCAATATCAGCTCAATAAATTTTGAGTTAAATTAATCTCAAAATGTTTTTTTTTTTTATTTTATCTAATATTTTTTGTATGTACACCTACATCATCCTCTTTATTTTAAAATTAAATTTTATAAAATATTTATTTTTTATTATTAAAAAGCAATAGGAAAAATTATTAATTTTATATTATTTATCTACATATATGTAGTGTTATATTTCTTAAAAAAAAATATTAAAAATTGTGCCAACAGCGGTTGTCTGGTCAACCGCATGTTGCATACGTTCCTCAGAAGAAGAAAAAATAAAAAAAAATAAATTTTTAATCTAGAGTGATAGGATTTGTATAGTGTATATCAGTTTCATAAAAAATAATAAATGTAAAAAATTGTGATGGACCGAGTGGATGATCGGGTGAAAGTTGTCAATTTGCCTTTGGGTGGTTGGCCACTTGGTAAAAAAAAATAATAAAATAATGTATAATTTATGAATAGTACATTACTACATCAAGCGATATATTGTAATAATTATAAATTTTACAAATATATAGCGAAGCTCATGAAGGCTCTTAAAATTTGATTTTCTTACTTTTGCTCTATATTTTGGTCATGAAATAAGTTTGATGGGGCTGGTGTGGATGCTTTTATGATATATGGTTCACAGGTTAGGTAAAAATTATAAGAAACAGAGAGAAATAGAACTCCCTTGTTAATTATGTGTTTCATTGATAAGATTTTGTGAGAAACAAAATTATTTGGTTGTATATTTTTTAGGCATTTATTTATAAATTTCTCTTCACCTACTTATATTTCACTTACTTTAAATTATTTTTTTATATTTTAATAAGTATAATTACTAAAATATCCTTAATAATAATAGGGTGAAGTGTGCCTTAATGTTAACATTCATACTATCAAATTTATTTAATGTGAATGTTCACATCACCAAATTGTTAAGGTTCAAAAAATATTTGTAAGGGTAAAATTGTTCATAAAATATCTTAAATACAAAAATAAAGATTTGATGAATCAAATATCTAAAATAATAGGACTTATTAAAATATAAAAATATCTTATGAACTGGTTATAATTAAAAAATTTATTTTCTTACAATTTTTTTTTTATCCTAATCAAATTCATATGAAAAAAAGATATTTTCTTCTTCTTATATTTTTCGATTGATTAAAAAGAAATAAATGATGGAAAGTGAAAATAGTAAAAAATAAAATAAAAGAAAAGAAAATATATATTTTTTATATGAACTTAATTTGGATGATGGAAAGTGAAAATAGTAAAAAATAAAATAAAAGAAAAGAAAATATATATTTTTTATATGAACTTAATTAGGATGAAAATTTTTTAAGAAAATAAAAATTCTAATTATAAGTAACTATTTTTATAACAAATTTAATTTTTTTTTTGTATTTTTCTATATGTTTTGCAAAAAATTGAAAGCTTAGTTACCATGATATTATAAATTGTACAAAAAAATTAATTTTTTTATTTTTATTTTTACCATTTTCATACTAAACAAACTTAAAAAAAAAATGTTATTTTTTTCACTTTTTCCCATTTTCCAATTTTCATCCTAACTAAACTTGGATTAAATTTACAAAACATACAAACACAACTGACAAATGCATTTTGCCCTTTTTTTTTTTTTTTTTTTTTTTTGTGTTTCGGATAATTTGTGACCTTCTGGATTACATGAAGAGAAACAACAAAAAATCGGTTCCTGTTCAGGTTATTTTAACCACTTTGAGACAGTACGCGGAAAAGCACCTAACCCATCTTCAGAATTTTGCCAGGAAGAAGAAGATAAGGGTGAAGACAACGCCGGAGATCAATGCTTTCAATTTGCTTTTGGATGCTCTGTGCAAGTGCTGTCTTGTTGAGGATGCTGAAGCCATGTTTGCAAAGATAAAGAGCAGGGTTAAACCCAATGCTTATACATACAATATTTTGTTTTTTGGGTGGTGTAGGGTTAGAAACCCGATTAGAGGTATGAGCATACTCGAAGAGATGATCAAAATGGGTCATGCGCCTGACATTATTAAAATATAAAAATATCTTATGAACTGGTTATAATTAAAAAATTTATTTTCTTACAATTTTTTTTTTATCCTAATCAAATTCATATGAAAAAAAGATATTTTCTTCTTCTTATATTTTTCGATTGATTAAAAAGAAATAAATGATGGAAAGTGAAAATAGTAAAAAATAAAATAAAATAAAAAGAAAATATATATTTTTTATCTGAACTTAATTAGGATGAAAATTTTGCAAGAAAATAAAAATTCTAATTATAAGTAACTATTTTTATAACAAATTTAATTTTTTTTTTGTATTTTTCTATATGTTTTGCAAAAAATTGAAAGCTTAGTTACCATGATATTATAAATTGTACAAAAAAATTAATTTTTTTATTTTTATTTTTACCATTTTCATACTAAACAAACTTAAAAAAAAAATGTTATTTTTTTCACTTTTTCCCATTTTCCAATTTTCATCCTAACTAAACTTGGATTAAATTTACAAAACATACAAACACAACTGACAAATGCATTTTGCCCTTTTTTTTTTTTTTTTTTTTTTTGGGTGTTAGTGTTGAAAGTTAAAATATATAAAGGTAAAATTGATAATTTGATTCACAATTGATTCAATTACCAAGATTATGCAACTAAAGACTGCTATATTCTTATACTATGAGAGTTGACTGTAATTGATAATTGTATAATCATCAGGGGGTCGCTGTGATTAGCCCAACTAAAATCAGTAAGAATTTACGTTATTGAGCACACATATGAGCACTGAGCAGGATGTGTTCACTCGGTAATGGATGTGAGATATGGGTTCTGGGTCCTACATTCCTATTGTTGAATAAATACCCAGTTGAGTTCTTGATTGTGAATCACAGTTCAATTGTTCTCTCTTTGTTGTGGAATGTATTTGATGTGTTTGTTTCAAAGCCCTCCACCTGTTTGATAAATTGCCCCTTAGAAATACATTTATCATTTCTGTGTCTTAGAACCTCCTTTTTCTTTGAATTTATTTGTTTTTTCAGCTTTGTAGATATATAGATATCGATATATTGCCATATTTTTGTTTGTCCAATGTTGCGGGTTTTCCTTGTTTCATCTATTAGGCTTAGAAATGTGTCTTCTCTAACAAATATTGTGGGTTATCAGTTCTCAATTCACTGCTATCGTTGTCATCATCATGATCATGTATTGCCATTTTCAGCTAAAGTCAGTCCTTGTCATGGTTTTTACAAGACACCCATGACACAAATCTCCCCGTTGTTTAGTCGAACTTCATTTTCCATGCCACCAAGTTTGAATTTAGCTGAAAAATCAACACACCCATATCATAAATCTTCAATTTCCTTGAATTCTTCACCTGTTGCAGTCCATGTGGGTGCACATTTGTATTCTTCAGAAACTGTTGCAACAGAACAAGCATCTGACAGTAGTACAAATGATGTCGACAAGCTGTACCAAACTATTACCGATACTTCTGATCCCAATAATAGCAATATGGAGAGAGCTCTTGACCAACTTGGCATAAAACTGACAACTGAATTGGTCGTTGAGGTCCTCCACAGGCTTGGTTTCGAGGAAAAATTGGCCTTTAGGTTCTTTACCTGGGCAGCACACCAAGAATGTTATGCTCATGAACCCCAGGTGTATAATGAGATGATTGACATATTATCTAGTACTAAATACAAGGTGAAACAGTTTCGGATAATTTGTGACCTTCTGGATTACATGAAGAGAAACAACAAAAAATCGGTTCCTGTTCAGGTTATTTTAACCACTTTGAGACAGTACGCGGAAAAGCACCTAACCCATCTTCAGAATTTTGCCAGGAAGAAGAAGATAAGGGTGAAGACAACGCCGGAGATCAATGCTTTCAATTTGCTTTTGGATGCTCTGTGCAAGTGCTGTCTTGTTGAGGATGCTGAAGCCATGTTTGCAAAGATAAAGAGCAGGGTTAAACCCAATGCTTATACATACAATATTTTGTTTTTTGGGTGGTGTAGGGTTAGAAACCCGATTAGAGGTATGAGCATACTCGAAGAGATGATCAAAATGGGTCATGCGCCTGACAATTTCACCTACAACACTGCCCTCGATACCTTCTGCAAAGCAGGTATGGTGACGGAGGCAGCTGAACTTTTGGAGTTCATGAGAAAGCACGGCTCCACCTTGTCTTCTCCCACTGCAAAAACTTATGCAATCATGATTGTGGCACTTGTTCAAAACAATAAAATGGAGGAATGCTTTAAACTTCTTGGGGATATGATAAACAGTGGATGCCTTCCTGATGTATCAACATACAAGGAATTGATTGAAGGCATGTGTTTGGCTGGAAAGGTTGAAGCAGCTTACAAACTCTTGGAAGAGATGGGAAACAAAGGTTATCCCCCTGATGTAGTCACATACAACTGTTTTCTTAAAGTTCTTTGTGACCAAAAAAACAGTGACGAAGCACTTAGGCTTTATGGAAAAATGATTGATGTGGATTGCAAGCCTAGTGTACACACTTTTAATATGCTAATTCAAATGTTTTTTGAGATGGGTGATCCTGACGGGGCCTTTGAGACATGGCATGAGATGGATAAGAGGGGCTGTGCACATGATACTGATACTTATTGTTCGATGGTTGACGGGCTTTTTGGCTGCAATAATACAGAGGCTGCCTGTATACTTTTGGAAGAAGTTGTAAATAGGGGAATGAAGTTACCATATCGGAAGTTTGATTCATTCCTGAAGCAGCTTTCAGATATTGGCGATCTCCAAGCTATCCACAGAGTCTCGGAGCATATGAGGAAATTCTACAATCCTGCTATGGCACGACGTTTCGCATTGAATCAGCCTATCCCTTTGTAAGCCTAAGAGGGAAGTAACAAGATTTAAAATTACTGATAAAGTGAGATTGATTTCACTTTTGGTTTGTATCATGTTGGAAGAATGAAAAAGAGACATTGACCTCACATCTGGAGGAAAAGTTGAATCTGAATGATGACAGAAATGAGGTTTCATTTCTATGACAATTGATAAGGAAAAGTTGAGCTTACTTTTTTTTATGGTTATAATAGTTCTATCAAAAGCAAAGATACATCATGGATATGGGCTGTCAATTTGTTCAATGCAATTGATTTTAACCTTAAACTTCAATGATCTAAATGGATGGTTTGTTTTTCTTAATTGAATATATTATTCTGTTATTGTTCCTTTTCCTGCAGTAGTTCTAAGCAGAGAAAATGGTTCTAACATCAAGCATTACAAGAATTCTACCAAGTTTGTTTAATGAATTAAAACAGTGAATATTCTTTGTGCTTGTCTATAACCTATCTATAAAAGCAAGAAAAATGAGTCTAACAACACGGTGCATCTAACAAACTGGAAATGGCCAATTCACCCTCCTTGGAGATTGATGGGCAAGCTGCGAGCTGGGCTTCTCCAGGAAGCCATTGTCGTCGTCATCACTTCGTGCTTCTCCAGCAAGCTTTTCATCAATTTATGCTACAACTACACAGCTTTTATCCAAGTGTAAGTTAACTTCTCTCCTCTCTCTCTCTCTCTCAATTTTTATGTATATGAATCTGTATTGAGAGTGGATAAGGTGTTGATGTTATTTTGGATTTTTCAAGTATGAATTGGCAGCAGAATGCGTAGATGATGACGAACACAAGGCAAATTAATTTCAAATGTGCATGGGTGTCTGTTACTGCATGGACAAATTAGGCACACCACCTGTTTGATAATATGCCTGGATATGCAGACCAAGTAGTGCTGTTTTTGTTTATGCTAAAAAGTTGCCATGATTTTTAATTTGTTTTTTTCTTAGGAAATTGTTCGTTATATATAAATATTTTTTTGATCAGTTTAGAGCTCACTTTTCTTAGTTCATGTATTACCCAAATGAAGATAAGCTATTATGTATGAGACGCACCAATTTAATTACCAAATTGAAACACTAAATTTTGAAGTGATTCATTGTAACCAAAAAATGTCTGTTACTAAACATTATGTGTTTTTTACCTAGACAAACAATGTACAATCAATAGCAGATGTAGGCCTTGATTATATTTGATTTTGTCAGATTGTTTGTGATCATGCTCACAAAATTGATGACTATGCAGCGGCTTTTCGCCTCTAACATCCTTGTCTCGCGGATGCAAGTTCTTGGGGCCAAAATCTGTATGAAGATTGATCATGTTTTCGAATTGTTCTTCATGACTTTGCTTGTTTCATTTGATATTAATTTCAAACTGTGTAGTTCTCTGATATTTGATAATGGAGTTACAATTATAAACTTTTGCATGATAGTTAATGTATTTTTTAATTCTAATGTTCATTTTGCTCTTCTTTCCCGCTTTTGACTGGTGTATGTATGTTCTTTGATAGCTTGCTTGTTTTTGTTGCCGATCATTTTGGCTTCTACTGTTGTATTGTGTAATTGTTAACATCGGCCACAAACACCAAAACTGATAGCTAAACACAAGGAAACAATTGACTGTTAGGCAACTACAACACATCTCAATCAACAAAAAAAAAAAAGAATGTCATTTTCGTGAGATCATGTGAGCTGAATAGGTGCATGCGCTTTTATTGTGCAATCAGATGTCGTAAAATTTTATATTTCATTATTTTTCAAGGCTTACCAACTTGAAAGAGCTACAAATTTCCTGCAGCAAGGTCTCAGATTATGGTGTCAGGCACTTATTTTGGCCTTTAAGCTAATATCTTGCTGTAGATACTCAATTATGTCAACAGTAGTATAGTTTCTGAGACGTGGTCCACACCCACATCATATGTGCAGTTTTGAGAGGTAGTCTATGTGTATAAAATGTAGTTGAAATTTCAATGCTTAATCAACACTACTCATTTTCCAAACTAATTTGAAGAATTTTGTTGAAATTTCTTGCTCTCTCTCTCTCCCTCTATATATATATATATACACACACACATCAGTCTGTTTGGTTGCCTATCTATCTGCCTATCCCTTTCTGTCTGTTTGCTTGTGAACATATTTACTAATACATTTCTTTATATGTCTAATCAAGTGTATTTAATGTATTGGAAATGGTTTGCAATCAGATATCAAGTTGGATGAGGTTAATAATAAGATTTAGATTATTTACTGTGTTATTAATATTATTAACACCATAGTGCAAGTACCACTTTCTCCCATGCATTCCCATGGGTACCTGGTAGTGTCATTAAAATCATCAGACTTGCTAAGTCTATTTTCATTATATACTGGAAGCGTAGTAATGTAGATACATCATCCTTGATTTTTTCGTTAAATGGTTTGATAATGCTTCCCTTAGGAAGTAGTTCAGCATTTTGTCATGGTCAGTTTTGGTTCCATGTTCTTCTTGGCATGACAAATTCTATAAGCTTTTCCACTGAAATATTTGGTATCTGTGTTCATTCATTTCAGGTTTGCACAAGCTCTCTGTATTGAACATGGAAGGTTGCCCTGGTAGTACAGCATGCTTGGATTCTCTTGCAGTTGCAGGTTCACTTTTTGCCTTTTCTTCTCCCCTGAGTCATATCACCATTGTAGTTATGTTACTTGATATTGTGATAAATATTGCATTTTGAGAGAAGGGTATGGGCTATGGAACAAGAAATATTCCAAGAGTATTAATTGTTTTATGGCAAGAAAGAAGCAAGCTTTTGCATGTTATGTCTATGGACTTGAGTTTAGCTACTTCCCGTACATGGTCTAAACTAGAAAATATCTTGACAAAGGTAACTCAAAGATATGATTTTGGATTTGTAGGAGACTAGCAGTTTATTGCAAATCCAGGATTTCCATTTGAAAATTTAAAAATTTTGTGGATCAAAGCACAATAAAATTATTTGGCTGTGTGATGAATAGGATAAATGGTAAAATGAAAAAATACTTTCTCAGGAATGTTTTCTATTTGTAAGCTGACTTCTGATTTTCAAAGGAGTGGATTGTTAATCATGCATGATGTAACTACTAACTACTTAAAATTTTTTGACTGGACATGGTAAATGCTGGTGATGAATGAAGGATTTCTTGTGAGATACTATGGTTAATAATATTATAAGTTGTTCATGTTGGGTATTAATCTCATTGCCACTTGTTCTTTGCAGCTATTCCTGCCCTGCTATATTTCAACCTAAGCAGATGTAATTTGTCTGATGATGAGTGTGAAAAGTTTTCAGGCAGATTACAAGTGAACTTCACTTTGTATCCCTCCGGGTGTAAGAATAATGGACTGTTTTAAATTGAGATTCATACTACACTTTCTAATAGCATCAGGAAAACATTGAAAGCAACCTCCACAACAAAAAGTATACTTTTTCATGTCATGTTTGCTGCAGGGCTACAGAATCTGAAAGTACTAAACTTGGGATTCAATGATATCTCAGATGCTTGTTTGGTACACAAGAGAGGTGGTTTTTCCTTCTTATATTTATGCAAGTTCAATAACAGTATAAAAAATTAGGGCAAAAATTATAGAGTTTCTCACTTTTGAAGAAGATACCCAAGAGGGATAATAGATGGGTCTTGTGCATCACCTCATAGCTGTACCTAGGGAATGATTATTCCTCTAGCTGTTGAATATACAATATGTAGAATTTTTCCCCCCTTGTTTTTCAAAATTCATTCTTGTGGGTTTGCCTTCCGATGTGATTATTTTTGGAAAGGTCATTAAATCAAATAATCAAAAGCATGGAATGCAGAATTTTTTTGGGGTTCACTGAAAATATTTTCTCATAGAGACTTCTCATTTCATGCAACAATGCATTATGTTGCTCCATACCTGGTTTTTGCCATTATTCGATATTGTGTTCATTACAAAAGTATACAAGTCTTTGCTTTTTGAGAAGCTTGTCATTTATATAGTTTTTCTTTTGCTTCAAGCAGGTTTAATGAATCTGGAGAGCTTAAACCTGGATTCATGTAGGATTGATGATGAAGGTCTGGTTAACTTGACAGGTCATTGTTCACTACGTTCCCTTAATTTATTTAATTTTCTTATGTCCATGTTGCACTTTTAATAACAGTTCTGTTTTCAATCAATGGTCAGTAGAAGCTTATGCCTTTGAATTGCATGTATCATGCATGAAGTTATAAAATTAGTGGGCAATTCTGGGTGGAAGATGCATTATACTTCTCATTTTTTGTTAGTGGTTTTAAATGTCATCCAGTTAAGCATGCTTGTTTTCCTTTTATGATAAATATTTGACCTGTTCTAGAATGATTATTCTTGTGTTCACACACCATTTACTAATGGAATGGAATCCATTACATTACTATATCCTTGTTAATGATATGTTTGTTACGATGGAAGGGTAGAATTGGAATGAGATGACAAATAAAATCTTATGTACTTCATTGTTTTTCTTTCCTATCAAATCCTATCACTTTTAGATGGCTTCATTTTTTGAACAAAACGTTGACTCTATTGCCTTTCATTATCCTTTCCATTCATGCCAAACATGGAAAATGCAACTTTTAATATAAAATCCTTCTTTCCTTTCAGCTCAAAATGCACTTTGCCAAAGACATTTGAAAATAGAAAGGAAAAAAGGAAAGGGGAAAATTCAATGAGTTTAAACGGAGTACTCGTCTTTCAATCCTAAATTGCTACTGAATTCTCCTAGGTAGCATGTGTAACCTGCTAAGAACTGAGAATGTAAAATTGCTTGTGGTATTAAAGCTGGAATTTCATAGGCTACTTCAATTTCCACTATAATGGATTTCTATACCATTCTCCTAAAATTGAACTATTGGCCACCACTTATGCATTTTGGCTTTATTAAGAGTTGCCTTTTATTGTCTTTTTCTTTTTTCTCCTTTTCCTGTGGCAAATTGCAGCTTCTAATATTGAATTCTTTGTGCAGGATTTTGTCATACAAAGGAATGGAATGGAACATGTAAGCTTAAAAATTTAGGAAGTGTTTGGTTCACTGAAATAAAGGTGAATTGGAATAGAATGGTCATTCCTTATCATCCTTATGGAATGATCATTATCTTATAATCATAAATGGTGATTCTATTTACAATTTATTTTTCATATTTTTTGTAGTGAACCAAACGTAAGAATGGACATTCCAATAGAATGATCATTTTATTATTAACAACCTATGAAATTGCAGGAGGGGAATCATATTTGATTGAAACAACAAAACTTGAGCACCCTATTTTGAGCACTAATGCAGGAGATGGATTGTTTTAGTGAATGTGCCTCAAAGAATTGAGAGACAGTTACCACTACAATGAAGTTCAAATGCTCAAAAACCTCATCCTCCCGTGCAAATAACTGGCATATTAGCATGTATAATCAAGATGGTCAATGTATTTTCTTTATTATTGCCTATGAATGATCCACAATTCTTAAATCATGTTCTGTGGTTCAATATTTAACCAATTTTACTTGTAATTTCAATTCATACAATAAGATTTATAAAACTTAATGACAGCTTACAGTGTCTTTTGCCTTGCTCTATTATTCCTAGCAAATAACCGTGTGTGGGGTCCAACGAGTATTGTGTAAATGTTGATTTGACAAGCTCAGCTAGCTTTCTTCACACAAGGTTTATTTTTTTAGAATTTATCAACTGTTCATGGTCAGATAGTGTTGTAATGGCAACTAGAGATCTGTTTAGCATTGTTATTTGCTAAGCATGTTCTCCTATATAGAATGCCCCAAGCAAACATTGAAAAGTGAAAGCTGTTATAGATGATTCTGCTCCTGTAAGGTCTGTCTTATCTAGGCTTTAACAAATTCTTCTTGCCCTCTCCTTTATGATCAAGTTCCTAAGCATGTGTTTGAATCATGTATTTAGGTAAAGATTTGAAGAAGAAGAAGAAAACAAAACAAAAAAAAACTAGCTTATATTTCATTTACATAGCCTTTATCTTTTTCCTTCTTTTTCTAAATCTCTACCTAAACATTCCCCTTGCATTTTTCTTTTCCTTTCTAAATCTCTATCCAAATTTATGATCCAAACACAACCTAATAATTGTAAATCCACTTCTCTAACAGACATAATTGCCCTTGGAATCACTATATTAGTTGCCTATTCACCTATTAATTGTTTGTTTGAGATGATTAAATGTGTATTTTTTGACTTTTTACGAAAAAATATATAGAAAAGTAAAGAAGTGATGTGATGTGATTCAAAAAGATAAAAAGATAAAAAAATGTACTTATATAGTATACCCCAAACAAAAACCTCCATTTCTTGTTCCCTGTGAAGAGGCTTGAGACACTATTTTAGAGAAATTTAAATCACTTTCAATGTTTTGTGCATCACCATTTCATAACCTAGCCGAGCCAAGCAAATGGAGGGAAGACTAACAAATACATTGTAATTTAACCTTTATAATGGAATAATTATTTGGAAAAATGTTGAGATCCTATTTTTTTCTTGACTCCCACCATCCCTAATATATTGGGATTGGCCAACTTTTCGCTTTTTGTATTTTGTTTTATTTTATTTTATTTTTTTTCCCCTCCTATCACTCAGTGACATGTGTCTGTAAGGGTTGTGGGGTCAAAGAAAAAGGGAATCTCTATCCTATCACTCAATGACATGTGTCTGTAAGGGTTGTGGGGTCAAGAAAAAAGGGAATCTCTATCATTTCTGTTCTATTCATTTTCTAAAATACTCCAACATTAATAATTAATGAATTAAAACTTATAAAATAAAAAATACAACAAAATCAATTCCTAACTCAAACAAATCATTCAAAATTCTAAACTTTTAAATAAAATCATAAACTAACACAAGCACATCTTTCAAAATCTTAAATTAGATCATTAATCGCCTGTAAGGGTTGTGGGGTCAAAGAAAAAGGGAATCTCTATCCTATCACTCAATGACATGTGTCTGTAAGGGTTGTGGGGTCAAAGAAAAAGGGAATCTCTATCCTATCACTCAATGACATGTGTCTGTAAGGGTTGTGGGGTCAAAGAAAAAGGGAATCTCTATCCTATCACTCAATGACATGTGTCTGTAAGGGTTGTGGGGTCAAGAAAAAAGGGAATCTCTATCATTTCTGTTCTATTCATTTTCTAAAATACTCCAACATTAATAATTAATGAATTAAAACTTATAAAATAAAAAATACAACAAAATCAATTCCTAACACAAACAAATCATTCAAAATCCTAAACTTTTAAATAAAATCATAAACTAACACAAGCACATCTTTCAAAATCTTAAATTAGATCATTAATCGCATTCACTATCTACTACCCAACAATACAATTCAAGTAAAATCATTCAAAATCCTAAACTTATTTAAAGTAACTCTTCATTAACTTTTACATTCATTCAAAATGCAATAATAAAATAACAATGGTCCAGGTTAAAAATAAAAAAAAAAAAAAGAGTCTAAGTGCGGGCAGGTTCTTGTGAGTGCGGATAAATCCGCAATCCGCAATCATGTCATATTCCAAACCGCATCTACCGATATTATGTCTGAGAAATCGTCCATTTGTATGTGGATTGGTTTGGATTTGACGGGCTATTCAATTTAGATAACCTTATACCCAACCCTACCCCCATAGATTATATAATAGAAATTTTGGATCTTAACTGATTGATTTTTAAATTAATTAATAATTGACATAATTTGGAGTACTTCATACCATTATAAATAAATGCGAGCATCACATCTAATGATGCATTTGACAACCAACGAAATAAATAAGATTTTTGCTAACCAACGAAATAGGAATTTTGCTAAAAGGGTCGAAATTTAAAGGCCAAAAACCTATTTATTATGTACTTAAAAAAGTTAAGTAAGTTTACGTGCATAGAAATTAAATACATTTTATAAGGGGTGGATTTCATAATTATTATGTGCGTTTCACCCTTTGTGAGAGAGTTGTGTTAAGAATGACAATGGATAATCTACTCAGTAAGTACTCATGGAGACCCGACCTGAATATATGGCCTTGTTTGGTTTGTATCTAAAGATACAATTTTTGAGAAAAAATCTCAAAAAATTGTTTGGTTAAAATTTTTTGAATTTTTTTTAAAAAAAATTACTTCTCTCTACTGCATTAATTAATCATTTTTTCTCTTTCACATCCTACACATTAATCAATCATTTTTTTCTCTCACACCATCTATTCAACTACAAAAAAAGAAATTAAACACCTTTTATAAGAGCATCTCCAATGATGAATCAAATATTTCACCAAATTTGAATAAAAAATTGAAGAATTTCTCTATTTGATATTCAGCGTTCCAACGGTGTATTTTTGACTATCAACAAATTTCGATCGATCAGGGGGACGACTGGCCAGACGTCCGACTGGTTGACCAGCAAGGCAATTTGAAAAACAAAATCCAACACAAATCTTGAACAGAGGAGGAGGTGAAATGAGAGAGAAAGAGAGAGGCTGAGGTGGTTGTGAGAATGACCCAGTAGCTGCTATCCTCCATAACAATCAAATAATTCAACTCCAAAAGATCTAAATTGCATACACCAATCACAAAAAAATAAAAATAAATAATAATAATAATAACAACAACAACAACGATCTAGCAATCAAAATCTAATCGAATTAGACAAATTTTAAACCTTCGGATGACGAATTTTCGAGAAATTGAAGGTTTAGCCGAATCATAGAGTGGAAAGTGTAATTCCAACGCGATCTGCGAGAGACGAAACACACAGAATGGATCGTAAACTGCAAGAAAGGATTAGATCGATTGAGTAATGGGAGATTGGAGGATGAGCATCGAATCTTTTATCTGTGCGAATCTCAACATCGTGAGTGAGAGAGGGATATGATAGAAGAGAGAGAAGCAAAGAAGAGCAAATATGAATGGTTGAGCAGATATGAATGGTTGGGTTGTGTTGAGTAAGAGAGGGATTAGATCGTCTTTCTTTGTTCTTCCTCATCTTCATCTCCTTCCTTCAGATCTGGTATGATGTTGTGGGAATTATTGAAGTAATCGGATGACTGGAGAGACAACCGGCTAGACGTTCCGCCGGTCATCCGGTATGTTAGCTCACAACGGTCATTGCACAGTAAATTGGTGAAAGTTACCCAAATCTTCAGTTTGGTGAAACATTTGCTATTTTCTCAATTTGATATCATTTTGGTTAAACCATTTGTTACCTAAAAGAGAACCTAAGAGGGGGGATGAATTAGGTTTTTACAATTAAAAATAATAATACCCTAATAAAAATTATAACTAGCATAATAGATAAATATAGTTGATGAAATAAAAATAATTAAAACAAGTGTTCTAACAACTATGTCAATTACTAATTTTAGCACAATAAAAATATGAAATATAGCTACAGCAATTGAGAGGGTGATTTATGATCTGGAGTTGGGCCGAGGTAACGGCCGAGCAGCTTGAGAGCCCAACGGCGTATGGGGCCGAGATGATCAACTATCCGCCCAGAGATGGGCTGCCAGAACTTAGGCCGGGCAGAACTTGGGCCGAGTGTATGCCACCCAGACCGTAAAGAAGCTGCTCGGCAAGGCAGCGCTCGGTCGGACCGAGCTGCTCGATCAGGGGATGACCGAAGCCAGACAAGCTGAGTGACCGGCGCCCGGAAAGATGTGGTCAGCCGAGGTAACTGTTTGACCGGCAGAAAGGCCGACCACAGGAGGTGCCTCGAGCTAGGCTTTGCCGAGATGCCGCCTAGCCCGGTCCTCCTTGGTCTTAGCCAGTGAAGTGCTTGGGTATGAAGCACGGCGCGGCACAGCAACGGATAGAGCAGCTCGGCTGCCAAGCTCTAGCTGTGATGGCAGGCAGTTGAGATTAGGTGATGCTCAGCAAGGTTTATGCTAGCAGATGGGATAGTGGAGCCACGTGTCAGGAGATGACTGGGAGTAGATATGGGGCACAGAGGGTATATAAGCATGTCTGCGCCCCCCATACGCGACGGATGAACACTTTGTAAGGAATTTCTTACACTTAAACGCCTCTCTCCCTCTTTCTCTCTATCCTAAGGTGTGTGCTAACTTGATCGTCGGAGGGTTTTTCCGGCCACACACCGCCGGGTAGCTCACCATTATTTGCGCGTAGGTGATCGGACATAATCGGAGCTTGGAAGAAAGGAGTACAGGCCTGCCGGAATATTTGCTCCCCGTACAATTGGCGCCATCTATGGGAATGAGGGATCGAAGGTCTTACCTGTGAAGGGCAGGAGCTGTTCTTCCAATCACGAAGAATGACAGTCGAGGCTGAGAGGAAATGGCTTGAGCTCTGAAGCGTCAGATGGAAAAGAAGCAGTATGAAGAAATTGTGTAAGGGGGGTCTTGTATATGAAGGAACGAGAGGCCGTCCAAATTCAAATTCTGGCAAAAACGGTGGGTTGGCTGCTCGATGACCAATGGCAGCCCGCCACGTGTCCCCATTTATGGCGACGTCAGGACTGAAGCGACGGGTTGAAGAGTCGAAGAGCCAACCGAACTACTTTCGAAGTAAAGGATGTCAGCCGAGGAGTATAACCGGGCAAGTTTGCAGA